TCATACTGTATCTGTTACATCTGGTGTGAAAGCTTGGTACTGTTGTTCAGCATCAAGACTGTAATGGATTTCAACAGGAAGGAGATTTCACCTCAAGTGAGGTTATATCTCAGATAGAAGTTTGCACCTGGCTGAGCTCTGACATGTAATTTGGTGAGCTGATTGTCCTAAGGACAAATGTGCTGAAGCATAATGAGGGCTTCCTGTGTTGGGCTTGGGACCTCTGTTTTCTTGGCCCAAACCTCATGACACAGGTGTGGACATCAGGGCCACACTGGGTGAGTTCAAGCCAGTGCAGGCATCTTGTACAGTTATTACATTAGGGTTCACCACATACGGTAGCAAATGTTTTCTTGATGTGCTGAAAAATGCAGGCTGTCATTTCAGCAGCTGTCTCTCTCAAGCGTTTGGCAGGAATCACAAGGTGCTTCAGCAAGTCAGCTAGCTGAGGGCAGAGTGTTTTACTAGTATCACCATCACAGCCGACCTTTCCAAATGTAGTGATCCCCCAAGAAAGACACATTTGAGAGACTACGGAGTGTACAGAAAAGTTACCATGAACTTCAGCAAGCTTCATAGCAAGCTAACCCTTCTGCCTTTGTCTCAGGGTTTTGCACAGCACCTTTGAGCCAGCTGGCATCATCCCCCTTTCCAACAAGTCTTGCTGTGAATTACATCTCATCAGACTTCAATTCAGGTTTGCTGTTCAGCATCAAGGATCATACATGCCTGTCCTTTCTCCCAGTTTTTTTCTCTTTTTTTTCTCTTGATGCTGCAGCAGAGACTTAGGTTGTCGACTTTCAGAGAACAAGAGTAGGCCTCTTCTTTTTTCCTGTATGGGAATGATTGTAATTGGAGAGAGATGATCCTATTCACTTCTTTCAGAAGGTAAGAATGATTCTTGAAGGAGAAATAAGGAAGCAGGTTTTACACAACAGAAAGTCAGCAAAAATTGACATATTTTCCAGAAAACCTCTTAGTGATAAAATTGATGAGTTTGTAGCATTACAGGCAGTTGTGTCTCCCATTTTGTTTTAAGGAGACCCTGCTAGCTGTGCAGCACACAGGAGAACTTCTGGAGGAAGCTTACAGTACTAGGCAGCAGAGAATTCTGAAGGCAGCAATAGCTACCAATCTCAGCAATGTGTGAGCAATGTCTTCAAATATATTTCCAGTGCTTTGGCATGTCCTTAAAAATTCTTGAAAACAGTAGAATTTAGGTACTTCTAGTGAGTTGGAGCTGAAGGCTGCAAATACACAGCCAGCATCTGTCCATGTACTGTACACTTACATCAGTCTCTGCAAAGATGCCATTGGCCCAGGAATTCAAAATTGCATTTGGATGTTTGTAATAAAACTGCCTGGCATACTCCGTGCAAGTTTGCATCTTAGCCAGAATTTTTAAAAAGGTAATAAGTAATTTCCGTAGCAGAATAGGAAGTTAGATTTTGTTGATTTGTTTTGGTGAGAGGAATTTCTCTTTGCTGGAGGTGAGTTTTTTTCCTCACAGTTTAAAAGACTTAATGAAAACATAGCCAGAGCAGCTATCCTGCCTTTGACACTGAGTTTTTCCCCTGGTTTTCTAGATAGGTAAAGCATCTTGCGCAGATTACCATGAGTCAGGTAGATTCAGATTCAATTCAATTCAATACTAGCCTCACTCAGTTTTTACCTACCTATAGTATCAACAATTGTAGCAGCATGTGCCATTAATATCTTGATGGTGCCTTTAATGTAATAGTCACTGGGTTGGATATGAAAAGTCCATGTGAAATTGGGTACAGCCTCAGTTACTGCTTTGTGAACTTCTTATTATCTATCTATTTCCATATAAATACACATCAACCAATTACATTTTATGCCGTTTCAAGTGAATTCCAAGTGAAGCCCTGGACGATGGGTGCTTTGGCAGCTCTCTGATCTCAGAGTCTTTCCATATAAATATTCAATGCTTTTCGAAGTGGAGTGGTCTTGGGCCCTTTACCAGCTACTTTAGTGCCGAGGGCTGACCCAACATGCAGGATTTGATTTCCATCTGTAAAATTGACTCCACCAGTTCTGTACTTCTGTACATTATTCTCCCTGTCTCCCATTTAGCATGTTAGTCTGCTGACAGTAGAGTACACAGCACTTAGCAGCTGGTTTGTGGAACCATCAGTCAGGAAATTGTATGATAAATAGGAGGTAGCCAGGTTTAGTGGCACTTTATTCTGCTTCAGCAGTTTTAGCCTGACTTTGGGTAAGTCATCATGCGGTTTTTCTTAAGGGTTGCAACAAGAGATGGCTACAGTGTAGTAACTTATTACACATACACTTGAGTTACGATGTTCACCAGCTGTATTGCTCATCTGTAAATAATAAACTGTGAGATGGATAATTATGTTGGGGTTTGATATGCAGCTCTACTCCGGACGGTTCAGGGCTGACAGAGACAGCTCCCTGTGCCATGATGGAGTACGGCTGTTTCCCAGATGGAAACTACAAACAAGATGCAACCAAGATATACAAGGGCGCTTAATGTGAGAGGACTCAAAAAGATGTTCTTGGAGATTTATAGCCCATGAATAAATAAAACTTGTTGATGAACTGCACTGCATAAGCCCCACAGAGAAAAATACCTTTTTTTGGGTTGTTTAATACTAAGTTTCCATTTCTCAGTGGAAAGTAAATTAGCCATTGAGGACGGTCAAATGGTGTTTTACTACATTACTAGAACTGCTTTTAATGGATAGGCTCTCAGGCTGAGTGAGGGTGGGACAGTGAGGAGGCTTGGCAACCTCAGTGGGATTTCATGTTTTGGCCAGATGAACCACATCCTGTCTGACATGCATACAAGGTAGCAAAATATCTTTGGTCTTACCTGTGCTCTCTAGACTCACTCTGTGAAGGAGACACATAGGGCAGAGAAGGATTTGCCTGTGCATTTATGAGGGTGTGAGTGACTTCCTTTTTTGCTGAAAAAATGGTGGCAGACTTTATACTGCAAAATGCTAGACATCTGCTTTCAAACCTCCTCCCTTTGGCTTATACTGCTGTAGTCAAATACCAGTTTAGCAGGGAACAGGGCAGGCTGGGAGATGTGCTAAAACACACTTCCCATGTCCCTTTTCCCCTTTGCCTTGGTGTCTGCTGGGGAATTTGTTTCAGGAGGTGGAAACAAGCTTCCTCTACTCAGACAATGACAGTGTGTTCCTGATCATCTGTGACCCATTTTTTTTACCTCCGTTGAAGACCATGAATGCTTGGCATGGGGAGTGAAGCTCATAACAGATTGCATGCCAAGATCCAGTTGATGCAGCAGAACCAGAATTAAGAATCCTGTGAAATTGAGCTCCCAGCTTACATCATAAGCCACAATTATTTTTCATTTATGATGCCTAAATCAGTTAATGGCTAAAATGTGCTGTGGCTAGTCACATGCTGGTGTCCTTTCACAAAATCAAGCTTTGCAATTGGACGGTCTGTGTCAGATGTTTCCAGGCTTTCTTGAAATACTGGGAATATTTCCTCAGAAATTATTTCCCCTTCATCCCCTGTGTGTATTCCCTCAGGGGAATGAGATTTGTTCCTCTCATTCTTCCTGCACTTCAAAATGCAATAATAAGGCAACCCAACCTTTTAAAACATGATTTTTTTTTTTTTAACCATCTCTAGTTGAGACCAGGGAACTGCTTTAACAAATAATATAATCTAAGAGGAGGTTTACATTTTGATGAATAGGAAAGGCGGGAAATACAAAGAAAAGATACTTTCAAGAGCTGGTGGGTAAAACTGGAGTAGAATTAGTTTTATTACCAGTACACATTTGAAGTTCCCCTTTTTTCTAGAAGCATTTTAGTAAATCCATGACATGACCTAATGTCTGTACTTCTCAGCCTTTGGTGACAGATAAACACATGACATCACCCAAAGTGGTAATTGAGTAATGATTGTGCAGGATCAATTTGTTTCATGCTGCTGGAGGTGCTTAACATTTTGTTGGAATTGTGACTGTTTGGGAGGCAGTGGTGAGCAGCGTGTAACATTTTGAGGCACACAGATCACAGTGGTGTGTGGTGAGGAGAGCTGTGCTCTGTGAGAACTCTACCCCTCGAAGCTGGGGGGCAATCCAGTTGCAGAAGCCATGGGGAGGGTGGGCTGGTACCTGACTCCTCAGGACACAGCCCATGGGGGGTGTCAGGGGCTCATTTGCCCTTTTGTCAGCCTATCACCAAGGCTCTCAGGAAACAGCAGGGAACAGGAGTTTTGACAGCTGCAAAATCTCCCATCCTGTGAAAGCCATGGAGAACATAGAGCAGGGGAGCTTGCTGCAGCCGTGAATCCCTGGGTCTCCAGTCATGGGGACAAAGAAAGCACCTTCACTTTTTAAGAGCTGGGTATGAAAGGAGTCCCTCTGTCCTCACATACATTCCTCCAGGTTCAGCCATTGGTGTGGTGCAGTTAAACATCTCCAATATGGCCTTTCCCAGTCACATTTGTCTTCGAACATCGTTGCCTGATTTAATCCAGTTTTACTTACATTTCTCAGCATGTCACTTCAGTTTGGCTTTCTGTTGTAGGACTGTGTGTACATCTCTGAGGATACACTATTTCATTGCTTTGTATTCTCTGCTTAGGCTTTTTTTCCTGGGATGATTTTTTTTTCTTGTTTTAATACAAAATAAATAAATCAGGAATGTTTATGAGAGTCATGATGGTCCTTTTGATCTGGTGCTTCGCATATGGGCACATAATTATTTATTAAAGACTTTTTTTATGCCCCTTTCCATTTAAGCTATAAAAAGAGAATATTAAAATTAGTAAATACATATTCATGCAAACACTGTGGGCCAATTTCTCCTCTCAGACAGACCTGACTGATAGCACCATGGAAGGAGATTGTGACCCCTAAGTCATAGCGCTTAACACATGCTTTTCAATATCTGTTCTGTCTTTATAAATGTTGTTTTTAAAGAATCATTAGAGATACTCAGATCTGGGAACCTTGCTTGTTTTTTCAGATCCTCCTCACCTTTTTCCGGCATTCCACCCTCCTGTACCAATTGATGCAAGACATCATGAGGGACGCTACCATTACGAACCATCTCCCATTCCTCCTCTACATGTGTGAGTATTCAGTGTTCCCCCTTGCTTCATGAAAGAAATGGACAAATACATGAACCTTTGCAATGCTGGAAACCATGTACCTGAAGCACTTTTTCAGTCTTGCCAGAGTTCGAGATTTACTTTTGGAAAGCATTGAGGTTATCTGTTCTCAAGCAAAACCCATGCTGGTGCTTGAGGAATTCCAGTTATAATAGGTAGCTGGCAAAGGTTACCTATGTCTTTTGCTGACATTTATTCTGTATTATGTCATTCTATAAAGGCTAAATTAAAAAGTGCTGAGTCCTGTAAAATACAGGCAGATAAGCATGTATTTAATCTGTATTAGGCTTGGTATTCTTCATTGCTAAAATTTCCTTTCATGCCAAAGGTTTGTTTACAAAACAACCATTAGGTTGGTTTTTTCCCTAGTGACTGCTATGAAGCCTAATGAAATTTTTGGTAAATTTACTTAGTCCCTGTTGTGTGCACATATAGGCAATCGGTTGATTGATGGGAATGTCACCCAAACAAAATGGCAAATGTGATAGAGCACATGGTTTACACAAAGATAAAAGAAATGAATACCAGTGATAACATGCATTAGAAAAGGGTGGTAGTGGTGAAATACTGTAGAAATAAATTTTATCTTATTCCATATGGGGAGACGGGTATCAGCATTCCAGAATAAACCAGTAGATGTGTCCAGAAACCTGCTAAATACCATTTAAAATTGAGCCGAAAAGCAGGGCTTGGTACTTCACTAAAAGGCTTGATGTATACATTTAATCATATCTACTAATCACCTCTCACACTGAGAAAATACAAGAAGAAAAGCACAAGTAATACTTTGAAGAATAATGCTAGTTGTTTAGATGGCAGATTGCTTTTCTATGGCTATTAGTTACAGCTGTGTAATTACATATATGCAGAAGAAAAATGAAGTTGTTTTAAAACAAGTCCTCCTCTGCGAGCAGAATTAATTGATATTAACAATCCTAACTACATGCCCAAGTACACACACAATATTTTACTAACAGTTTTTTTTGGGTCAGTCTTCTATTACTGAATTGTAATTTCAGAGCAAATTTGCCTGGAGGTAAGTAATAAATCTGTGTTGCAGTCTTCTTGGGCATTAGAGGAAAAGTGGGTATTTATAGAAAGAGAGAACACAGAAATTTGTGATTTATTCCTCAGGGTTCCTCAGATAGATCACCTTTTACACCACGATCTACCATATAATAAAGTACACTCAAATACATGCTTAAATTTGTTGCTAAATACTGTTGTAAGCTGAAGGTGGCAGGTTCAGACAGTCATTACAGGGTCATCCTAGACTTGCCATTGCAGTCAATATTCTGCATGGATAAATGTTTTTGGGAGTTGGGGGAGATCATCCTGCTCACTCTAAAGCTAGTGGGGAATTTGTCTTTTTCTTTGTGTTGGGCAGATGGGGTAGGGAGTTTTAACCTGCATCAGCAGAGGACCATAATCCGAGACACAAGTTCTGCCTACGAGTTTGGAAGGGGCTTCTGGAAGTCCGTGCCATGTGGGACCCTACCTGATTGCATCTGCTGAGCTGGGCCCTCCCTGGAGCCTCAGTCCCATGAACCCAGTCCTCAGCATGGCACCCCAAGCCTGCAGCAGGGCTTTTGGGTGGGTAGGTCACTGTTACTTGCTTTGGGTGACAGTGGGAAATTAGGACTAGCAGTCTACATGGCTCTCAGTGCCAAGATTCTGTAAGAGCCCCAAAAGATGTTGGAAGTGTCTCTTTCATACCTGGTTTGTCATTAAGAGGTAGTCCCCTCTGGCCCCAAAATCATGCCTTTTCCACAGAAAGGTGCCCTGCTGTGTGCTGCGCACCCCTGCTCCCTGATTAAGTATTCAGCTGGGCCCTGCAGAGGCAAGGTCTTAGCCAGATGCAATGACTGCAGGCAGCTGCTTTAGAAATATACTCGGATATCAGCCCAAGGTTTAGACTCAAAATTGCCTTTATACTGGCCATTTTCCCCCATTAACTCCTGTTGATTCTTTTGCTCATTTGGTTTATGTCACCCATTGGAATGATGAGCTGTAGCGGACCCTTGCAGGTTTTGTGGTTGGTGTAATTAAATATAAATAGGCAATTAAGCAAATTTAAAAGAAGGCATTTAGACTTCAACAGCTTTGTAGATGTTATAGTTTGTCATGTTTTCGCAATTTTCAGGAAAATATATTAACGTATATACATGTGAGGTAGGCACCCAGTGCTTTTCTTGCAAGTTTTACAGAGCTGGGTGTTAATAGCACTTAGGATCACCTGGGATCATTTGGAGCCATTACTTGAACTGCTGCCCCAGTACCCATCTAAAAAAAAAAAATAAAAAAAAAAAAAGAAGAAGAAGATATTTGAAAATTCTGAGAGAAAATGGCAAGAAACCAGTGTCAGGAAGCAAATGTTTACCTACAGCTTCAACAATTACTTCATTGTACAAATGGTTTTCTCCTCAGCTTTGTACTACTCTCAAATGTGTGTATGTAATATATATTAAAAATAAAATTTTAAAAGAGGCATGATTTTAGTTATCCAAGGTCCTTGAAATAAGTTCCAGAATTTGTCAAGACTTAATGGAATTAGTTTAGGTATAATACCAGTGAAGAAAATATGTGAGGAGGGCCTTGTCTACATGGTACCTACAGTATCTGCACAAAATTTTGAACACTGGCCAAGTGAAAAAGAAAAAAGAAAGCAGGAATTTTAAAGATGTTACAAAGCTTTTACGTACTTTCAGGTCTAAAAAGGTATATGCATATATATATAATTCTTATAGTTCAATTGCTGATGGTCAGAACTGTTGCATCTCAAATTTCAGCCTAGAGCCAAATTTTATAATTTGAGTTATAAACCCTTAAAATAAGGGTTTATGTTTATGATGGAATTGCTGACAGATGCTTATGTATAGTAGGACTAGCAGGCATTGCTGTAATTATGCTATCGTATCCTATCATTAAAGATTTCAATTGAAAGAGGTTTATAAATTGCTCTTCCTCTTAGATAAACCACCCTACATTAAGGCATCAACGATATGGTGCAGAATTAAATTAAAATCTCATAAAATGAAATATGTTCTGTATTAGCTGTTTGACACTTAATTTGCCTCTGAATGAGTAGAGGAAATCACAAATTAACCTGCCTTTGTTTTTCCAGCCATGGCTTATTACGTGTTAGAACAACTGCAATTACAGTCCAATAATAACCCCCAACCCTTATGAATATGTACTAAAATGTGTCACTTTGTGTTACCAAAACCTGCTAGGACTGTGTAGCTATCTTGGAATTTCTACAGTACACCTCTGGTTAATACTTCCAGAAGATGTATGAAACTTGAGTTTTTCTTCAGCAGCAAGGGATGAATGGCAAAACTGAGTCTGGGGCTTGTGTTTTCTTTTATTATTTTGTTTTCTCAAATGCAGTTTAAAAAAATCCAGTAAACTGTAATTGAGTTTTGATGCTTTACATTGAACTAAGGGGTTAAATTATGTGATAACTACCATATGATTAAAACAAACCAAAAGAAGCATGGTTTTAGTAATTGCATTCCCTTCTTTGTTCTACTTTGTTGTTTTTGTCCAGCTCTTTCCTAATTTCTGAAATTGATTTCTAAAGTATGGTATTAAAGAAAGAGCTGAAGCTTATCTGTGTTTTGGCCCTTGACATCTTCTAGGTCATTCATTAGAGTGTGATAGCTTCTCTTGTTGATGTGCAGTGATTCAAAATCAGGCCACTAATGAAGGTGTTTATTTGAAATTAATACCATGAGTATGCTATTTTTCTTCAAGATCCAAATTCCAAATTTGTTATTGGCTAACTCTTCCTCTTGCTTGATGCCTTTGTTTGGAATGAGAGTTATTAGCAGTGGACAGAAGAAGAAGAAAAAGGATGTCTTGTCTATTTTTATGACAGTGCAAGTGTAAACAACTTTATAGTCCCACAAATTTTAAAATTTGCCTTAGCCAGGACGAGAGTTTTTATTTATTAATTTTAAAAAAGCTTATGAGACATAGGTAAAATTCTACAGATGGATTTAAATACAGTGATTTAGGAAGCTACTGTTCTTGGCCATTCATTCATTCCCAGGCTTCAACCAAGTTGCATCAGTAGATTTTTCCCACTATCCTTCATTTCAAGGTTGAATTGGACAGCCTTTGAAGGTGACCTATCCTGATACCTTCAGGCGCTGTTACTGTAGTTGTGGAGGGAACACCCTCCTGCAGAGATGAGGCAGGAGACAACAGTCAGGTGACAATATCAGGGATGTCTCTGGGGAAGTGGCTTGTGTACATCTTGGAATGCTAAATGCACTAAATGCATGTGTTGCAGGAGGCTAGTGGAAAGCTAACGTTTCAGGGCTGAGTGCATTACAAGATGCATCATGCATGTTCGAAAATATTCATCCGTTTAGTCTCCATCTCTTTCTGCCATCCCTTTTTGCCTTAGCTCTGGACTACATATAAAGAAGAGCGAGCAGGTAAATCTAAGGGAAGGTGCTACCCATATGCTTACAGTTGAGGGAGAATGCCTTTGCCAGGAGGAAGTTGCATGGTACAGCTGGTGTATTTTAGCTTCCTAGGATCAACAACATTCCAAGCTCCTTTTTTTTTTCCTGACTGTTGATTGAGACTAGCAAGTTTGGCGCTCTTATGCCCTGAAATGATGCATGTGCAGATAACCATGCATATGCCTAACATGAATGCCTTGAACAGATATTTTGAAATTTCTCAATTCTCTGGTACTAAACCAGAGCAAGTGTTTTGCTTGCAGTCAGCTCCAAGTTGATAAAAAAGGAGTCTGATTTTTAGATATGTTATTTCATATATTGTTTATACACACATCAGTTACACAAGGATGCAAAGAAAAGCAAAGTCAGGCCCAGACACTCAGCTTTCACTATTATATGATTATGGACCATGCAGCAAAACAGGGGATGCCCAAATGTGAGAAGATTAAAGCATATCCTTGATTATCAGAGAAAATGCTAGCCACA